TTCAGTGCATCGTAAATGTGTTTGGGCACAGCTCCAGGGGCCCAAGGTCTCCGTAAAATAATCAAAGGCTGTTTCCCTCCGAGTTTGAGGCCCTCAAACAAATCATAAATAATCCGTAAACTATATCGGCCAGAGTTCTGCAACCGTAAAAAAATCATAAATAAATCATAAACTATTTCGGCCACAGTTCTGCAATCATAAAAAAAACATAAATAAATCATAAATTTTCCTTAGTTTTAGCAGGTTTGGGGGCACCACCCAAAATCATAAAAAAATCATAAATTTCTTAGGGAATTTATGATTTTTTTATGATTTTTCTATGGTTTCCAGCACCCTTCTCTCAGGGCCTGTCGGCCACCCCACCTGACCGGTTCGTGCAGTCCCAAAAATAGAGGCCTTTTCTAAAGCCTTCAGACAAACCCCCTAGGGTTTTGGCAATCCTCCTGGCCCCCCCCCTGGCTTGCGCACGTTTGCTAGCCTGCTAGCCCTCCGGGCACGTGCCTGGCCTGACCCTGCCCCAGGCAACCCGTCCCTGCTCCACACATGACCAGGAGGTGGGGCGACGGAAAGTGGACCACTTCTTGGAAGGCCTGTCCGGCTCTCACTGTCGCTGGCAGACCCAGATCGTGGCTTGGAGGGACCGACTGAATGTTTCGGACACGTACGATGTACTTGGTGACAAAAAGTCCTGGAAACTGTGTGGCTTGGAGAAGTCAAAACGTGTCATGAGCATCTTGAATTTGGCTGTGTGCGAGAAGATGAAAGGATCTAAGGGAAAGGCTGCCGGCAAGATGAACAAAAAGAGGGCCACTCGAGGCCTCATAGTGGATGTCAGTCAAAATCCGTGCAGAAACAAGTTTACGACGAAGACAGGCATGAACCACACCATTTGCACTTCGACGGTGCAAGTGCATGCCGGAAGACGCCGCCTGATCACACCGAGGGAGATGTTGTATGAACAGGGGCATCCCAACTCGGTGCAGCTGCCTGGGGACATGCCAATGTCTGCGGTGAGGCGCCTAGCTGGTGAGGGCATGGCTTTGCCTTCGCTAGCGACGTGTTTGTGGTGCCAGTTCCTTTTGCGTGCATACAGCATGGACTAGTGACTAGTGACTATACTCACTAGACTAGACTAGACTAGGTTGACTAGAGTGACTAGGGCATAGGGCCTAGGGACTTGATTACTTGAATGGCGGCAGGCCGTAAATCCATGCTGTTCTTGTGCGTATCTTCGCTTCCGCGGGGCTGACTAGCAGCCATGAAACAGGGATTTGATTTGTAGTGGCACGGGCCCGAGGATTAGGATTAGGATTAGGAGCTACCGAGTGCCTAAGGATCAGGACCCATGGTTCTCTGCAGATCGCTGCGCTACCGGTGTCTGCGAAATCCAAACAGTGTGGAGTCGAGTCTGGTCGAGTCTAGATTCTAGGGTCTAGTCGAGTCTCGTCTAGTCTAGGCAAAGTCTTGTCGAGTGCATGGAGTTTAAAGTCCAGAATCTAGAATCTAGAGAATCTAGAGTGTAGAGTCTAGAGTTTTGTCATGATTAGTAACTATGATTAGTAGCAGTGTAGCAGCAGCAGCAGCAGTTCTTTGTACCATAATGAGGGAAGGAGAGCTTTCGAGTGCATGTTTGTTCTGTGTGGTGCAGGATTAAGAATCCTCCAGTCCAGAAATCAAAAGTCAAGAGATTCAATAGGGCCAATAGGGTGCACAATGTACAGGACGTTTGATTCCGGACACCGGCATCGTTGGACACTTGAACGAGCGATTTTGACACCAGGGGCACGAGTCACGAGACATCCTTAATCAACTTCTTTGAGTATGAGTATACTTACGTTACTATACTCGACAACTTGACAACATTTCGTCACCCCAGACACATTCCGTTGCAACCATAATTACTCAAGCCAAGCTAAGTTGCTCCTGGTGTTATTTTCGCATGGTTCTGACTTGCTGTGCCAGTGCAGCCAAGATGTTTTCGTGAAATCATGTGCAGACGGCCCTCCCGCAGATGGTGCGTGGGGATGGGGGGCCAGAGTGTTGCCAGGCGCTGGTAGGTAGGTCACATGGAGACGAGATGCTTGTTTGAAGCCTTGCAGTGTGTGGCTTTGGATAGACGGATAGGATAGATAGATAGACAGCAGTCGAAACCCCGGCGATGGCAGTGGCTCCAGTGTGTCTCACAGGTGTGCCGGCATTCCACGACAGGCTTCAGTTTCAGTGTTCTTTCTTTGGGCATAGGCTTTAAGCTGATTCTGAAATAGATTCTAATTACTCTAACAGACACTTCAGCTGATAGTTTAGTTGAGTTACTGTGTTGGGATAAGGTGTGTTTCTAGATTCTGGATGTGTTGCTTGGATCTGCCTGCTGGGATTCGGAGGCCGGATGTGGCAAGCGCAGCCGGGTCGCTTTTAGTTAAGGATGTGACAACTGCTACAGTTGGAGTCACTTAGAGAACAGAGTAATTGAGACATCGTTGCAGTGGAATCGTTTTGCCATAGCCAAGACTGAGTCTCCGTTCTAGAATCTAGAATGTAGAACAACCAAAAGCTCAAAACACCAAAAAGCTCAAAACGTACGTCGCAAAGCCGGGGGCTTTGCGATGTCCGTTTTGAGCTTTTTGTTTGTTCTAGAACGGAAGCTGATTTCTTTGTTCTACATTCCACACTCCACAGGTTGCATACTCGAACATAGGCCATAGGTCCGTTCTGCAACAGTTACATTGAGATTATATTCATGAGTCCACAGATTTGTTGCTCGGCTGTAAGTTGCCCAAGTGTTTTTTTCCGTCCAAGCCTGGCCTCGAGACTCTAGTCTAGACTTTAAGGTCTAGAAAACTCGAGGCCGACGCCGAGATTTTTTTGGAAGGGCGGCATCTTGTTACTGACCGATCCCAATACTCAAAACTCGTAGCCCTCCCTGTTTGTGTTGTCGTTTTTGCTGCAAAGCTGGGTCCTAATTATACGTATAATAATAACTTCACAATTCCAACAGCCGAGTGGGTACGGAAAGTGTGTGATTGCTTGCTGCTTTAGCTTCCATTCAACATCAAGCCTGCTTCAGCGGAACTATTGAAACTATTGCATAACCTGACCTGGGCATTGTAGGGCATTCTGTCGTAGTCATCCACCAGACACGAGACCTTGCTGTAGCCTTACATTAGCCTCGCCTCCAGACTCTAGACTCGAGACCCTGTGATTTCCGTGTTTGGGCCCAAAGCTCCTTCCCCTCCTCAGCCATCCTCGCCTACACCCTACTAATAGTTATTTAATAGTTAATAGTATTCCCGCCGTGCAAAACTGCTTTCCTTTGCAGGGGTTCATGGTTGTGGACAGGATGCAATCACCTAGCTGACATGGGTTCAAACTCAGCGAAACAGGTGTTGTCATTTCGTGTGCCGCCAGTGTAGACTCTCGACTTGCAACTAATTCGGTGATGCTTGCCAGTGAGTAGAGCAAACTCACTAGCCGAGCCGAGTCACTAGCCTAGATGCGACTTGCTCCTTGTGCGCAGACCAGTGACACTGACCTGTGCAGTGGACAGAGATAGGATGCAAAAAAGGTTTCTGCAGATGGTTGAGTCATGCATGTCGAGTCGAGTGAGATGTTGCAGGTCCCAGAATCCACACCGTGGCACACGTAGGGTTTTTTTGGTGCTCCCACAGGGAAGCCGATAGGCCATAGCCACAGCCCGAGTGGTTGACATGGCAAAGACTTCCAAACATGCTGTCGCTGTTCCCAAGCGGCTGACCAAGAAGACTCCCAGCCACAAGCCAGAGAAGCCAAAGCCGAAAGCAGCGAATGCAAAGTCCACCAAGGCTGGCTGGGAATGCGGTGTGTTGTTCGTTTTGAGTCGTGAGATGGCCGGTGCATTCCCACAGCGTCGCAGTAGGCTGTCGCAGTCGTCGTAGCAGTTGTCGTAGCAGTTGTCGTAGCAGATGTGGTAGCGTTGTCTGAGAATCTTATGAGTGTTATGTCTTATGGTTTGTTAGAATTATGAGAATTATTAGTCACAGGCGCTTTTGGTCTAAGACTAAGATTCAGACCCCGTCAGTCCTCTTCCAAACAGATGCACATTTGTTCCAGGCATCATGTGTTTTTCGGAGCAGCAAGCCAGCAGCCCGTGTTTGTGGGCCAAATCTCGTAAAGCCTTGATGTTGGTGGCTTAATGTTTTGAACATATGCTCAGTGACGTGATAATCCTACTCTGTTATCCGATTTTATTTGACAGACCAATAGTGTCATTCAATAGTGACCAGCAGTAACCGACGAGTGATGTGAGCATGGGCTGTTTGAGGTTGGAAACTTTCTGCTTTCTTATATGTTGCGGTGCGATGAGGTGTTTTTCTTCAGTCGTGAGTTTGGGGTTCTTAGAAGCCTTATGGGTTCTGAGTGACTGGTGCCTTATACCTTATACTTTACTGACTATATTCACTCTATTGATTCTATTGAGCTTTTTGACTATAATAAATAATAAACTATCGAACATATCTTGCTTTTTGACAGCCCTAGATTCTCGAACCCTGAACCCTGCAGATTGCTCCATGTCAGGTGAAAGCCAGAGTAGCCAAAGCTCTTCAAAAAAAGTTGGCCTCCGAGAAGTCCGGCAGCAAGAAGGGTGGTGGGAATGCAAGCGCTTCAGGCAGAGGCAAGAAGGCGGTCGCGAAGTGGCTGCCATGTCTCGTTTGTGGCCGATCCCCGAAGGACGTGTTGATTCTGTGGCTAGGGCTAGGGCTACTGCTAGGGCTAAGGTGGGTTTCCGGCTGGTCGGGCAAAGGGGGGGGTGACTTGTCTTGGCAGGGGTCTTAGTGTCGTTGTGCACAGTCGATTTCCGGATGAAAAGACTTAAGGCAGACACTTAAATTTAAACCTAGTTGTCTGTTGGAATGTCCTAGCTGAACGTGGGACCGAAGGACCTGGGTGAGGGCGAGCGTTGGGCTTCCCACGACGTGTCCGGCAACAACGTGGGCGACGCATGCCTCCTTTGCTGGTGCACAGCTATGGAGGGGTGGCCAGCGGAAAGCTGGGCAACCGCTGGGGAGCGGTTTGGGAGTGAGAAAGTGTACAAAGCAGCTTTCAAGGCTGCGAGATCCGTGAGGAAGTCGCTGGGACTGACGCAGATGCCATGGGCTCCCCCTTCCCAGGTGAACAGCATCGTAGCCCGAACCAGGACGGTGTACTCCGAGCTTGGCTTCCTGAGCGAGGCCGAGCTCACAAAGATATGCGGAGTTGGATCGAAGGCTTTGAAGCTCACCCCGGGGAAAATCTTCCTCGAGGACAAGAATGCAACCCTGAGAGGCTTCTACGTAAGCCTCTTGGACATGCCGCCTGCGATGGTGAATGGTGTGAGGAAGATTCGGCTGGAGTGGTCAACGACCACCGAGCACGTGGCGATCCGACTCCATCCGGATCGGCAGATCAAGCAGGACCAAGGCCAGGCGGTCTTCAATTTCTGCACCGAGCAGGCCCTGGAGAAGATGGATTCCGGCTTGAAGAGTGTGAACAGAGCCAAGCTGCAGAGCGTGCCCGCTTTGATCGCCAAGGCCGAAGCCATCCTCAAGGCCATGGATCATGCCGGTTGGAGTCGGAATGGCTCTTGATTTCTGGAGTTTGTTGAATTTGTTGTCTTAGTCCTTCTGGCATTGCTTCAGAGGGGCATCACCAAGTGGACAGCGATGTGCTGGAATATTGTAAATGTAACTGTAGTGTGCCAGTGCCACTACTAAACCACCAGTCACTAGTCACTAGTCATCACTACTACTGCTTTCTAGATACACTTATCTTATATATGCCAATGGGACATCAGCCATTCCAGCCATTCTCCCGTGATTAAGCCGAGCCGTGCAGGGACGCCGCCAGGAGGAGGAAGAGGTAGAGGAGGACGGAGCGGAGGGTGAGCAGGGCGAGGAAGAGCAGCCGGAGGATGACATGGAGCTCCCCGATGTCCAGGTCATCGCACCCCCGTCCATGGCCCACGACGGCTTGGGTGACTTCGAGGAGCAACCCAAGAAGAAGCCGCGAAAATCCGCAGCTTCCAAGAAGTCTGCTCACGAGGTGGAGGAGGATGATGATGGCGGCGAAGCACCGGCTGCGATCAGTGATGCCCCCGAGTGGCTCATGCAGGCTCCCAAGTTCAAGAAGATTGTGGAAAAGTGTGGCAAGGTTTGGCCGTGCTTCTTGGCCATGAATCCCATCGAGAACTTGCAGAAGCGGAAGCCCATTGGGCACAAGCTGAGAGGGGCCTGGAGCTTAAGGCTTAGGAGCCTCAGCAGGGGTCGGCTTGTTTGACGTGGGGCTGTAGGTTCTAGGCGAATTCGCCGAGCGACATATTTGTCGATCTTGTTTTCATAGCAGCCGCTCAGCTGTGCAATGACTCAATTATTATATACTACTATTATCTATACATATATATATATATACATATCACTTCCTTGAGGTTGTATTTTCTTCTTTAGCACTAAGGAGAATTTTACTCTCTCCTCGGTCCTCGGGGCTCTAAACGACTCTAACATTTGGGGCCCAGGGGAGGCACATTCGAGACACGTTTCTGGATTCTAGATTCCAAATACTGAGAACGACTTCGCTTAACTACATAACTGATGAAGTTAAGTAAACCTGGAAACGTGTTCCTTGCCAAAGCTTTGCCGAAAACGATGTGCATTTGAGGTGCGCACTCGCTGGAATTCAGAGTGATATGTCTAAGTCTAGGGTCTAGGACCCGAGAAGTTTAGGAGGGGTTGGGGCTTGGGGTTTAGAGTGTTTAAGCCTACAATCCTATAGGTTCTAGATTCCTGCGTGTGTCGATCACCCCTGCGATGCTAAAGCTGCTAAAGCTTGGGATCGTCGAAACAAAGTAGTATATAGTAATATAGTAGTAAGTAGAGTAGGGTGAGCAGGATTATGCTGATATTCGGCCAGAGGGGATGGTCGCGAATTTGTGTAGCAGGGTAGCAAAGCTGTCTGTTTGTCTGATTGTTTACAGATGTCTGATTCGCTGTGGCAGCAATAACTGCAATGACTGAAGCAGAGAGCATGGCATGTACGACGACATGGGCGTATGCCATAGATACCCATGTGCACACACGTGTAGAGACACCCGCGCCGCCGCACACCCACACAGCATGACCCACCTACTCGAGCTACAATGTATAATGTATAACCTTCGTGTGAAGTCTTGCTCGCTGTGGTCATGCCCGAAGCAGAAGCACAAGTTCACATGTCCTTTATACTTATACTGCATATCCTGTGTGGTTTCGCCCAGCCATGAGTATGAGTGATGCTGCAGGCCCGAACACTCCTCAAGACGATGCAGACCGCTGGGCAGAAAGAAGCCACCCTGTTGGAGGGCAAGATCGCATTGCTGGAACATGTGGAACAGCTTCTGCACGGTCAAGCTTACAACGCAATGCCCCGGCAAGAGCTCAGAGCTCATGTCGCAGCTGTGGTGAACGAAGGTTTGACCCTTCCCTCGGATCTCAGAATGAAGCTCATGGAGCGCACAGCCAACGACATGTTGGGAGACTTGCAGGAGGTGAAGGACCCCTCCAGCGCTGAGTTCAAGAAGCTCCTGACCGAGTACTTGGACAGGGTCTTGATTTGGAGAAAGGGGTCAGATGTGGACGAGACCAAGCCCACTTGGTCCTTCGTGTGGGACGGAGCCTGCCAGGAGATCGACTACGACAAGCGTTTCGGCAAGTTGACTGCCGAGCAGGCAGAGGAGCAGAAGGAATTGGTCACAAAGGCGGGCAGGTTTGCCTGGGTTCGGTCACGTGGGGTAGTGAGTGGGCAGGCCCATTCTCAGCTTTGTCCTTCATTGATACATGACATCTGATCCGTGTTGGAAGACCGAAGACGTGAAAAATAACTAGTAACTAGTAACAGCTGGTATGTTTGGTATGTACTGAGTAGGGCCAGGGCTGAGTAGGGTATGTGATTTTAACCAATGGAATCCCTAGACTCTAAACTCTAGACTCCAAAAGGCTCGAAACTGTCAGCCTCGGCAGGACTGTGCCAGTGGCATCATGGAGTCGCTGTGCTGCGACCACTTTTTCAGCATGTGCAGGAACATGGATGCAAGCACCCAGCCCCGCGTTCTGAAGATCTTGGTTGGGTTCCTGGAGAATGCTCCGGGCCCGGATGGCGAGGATACTTTCCCCCCGACCATCACCGCCGTGTACGAGCGCTACATGAAGATGGTGAAGGCTTTGGTTTGCTTGTTGTCCCCGGTGCCAAATTTCATGGGCTCATCGCCCGAGGCATTGGCTGAGCTGAGGTCCTACAAGGGCAAAAATTGCGAAGAAAGTGCCCTTCGCGATGTCATCGCAGACCCCAGGCAGAAGGTCTGGGCGGCTTTGGTGGATGACATGCTTTCGAAGTGGGAGAGCACCGAGGCCTCATTGCCCAAGCTGGAGGAGTACGGCAAGGTCTTGAAAAGGATGTCCGAGCTCGACGATGCCGACATTCCAACTTTGGATGCGGAGTTGCTAGCAGATGCAGCTCGTGAGCTTCCCAAGTTGCAGAAGCAGCTCAGAAAGGGTTTGGGCGTGGATGAGATGAAGCTTTTGAAGGATGTCCTGTGCAAGTTTGCAGGCTTCCTGTCCAAGACCCGGCCAGGAGAGGCCAGCATCAGGACGACTGCTTTCACTGGCGTGCAGGATGGCTTGAACTGCTTCGCCGATGAGGCTGGTGTTGCCAAGCTTTGTGATGCGCTCAGCAGGTGGTTCAAGAACTCGGAGAAGCACCTGGCTTCGTCCGAGCTGATGACCATTTGCCGCACCTTTCCGGAGGATCTGCAAGCACCCATGAATGCGAGCAACTTGGGTGCCTTCATCGATGCATGGCAGAACTGCCCCAGGGAGATCATCGAGAATTTCCAGGGTGTTCAGGAGACTGACTACCACCATGCCCTTGCCTGGATCTTCCGGGTCATCGCAGGCATCGTCAAGGCCGGTGAGGGAAATTTGATTGATGAAGTGAATGAGTCTATGTTTTTGGGTTTCAAGGAAGACTCCTTTTCTATTCGGTTATTCGGCTATTCAATATTCGCTATCAGCTATCACTATTCCACTATTCACTATTCACTATTCACTACTCACTACGTCACTACGTAATTTCAGAATGCATCGGCGAAGTGTGCGAAGTGGGCAGAAGAAGTTTCGGAGACTAGGTGAAAAGGGTGAGAAGGGACTAGGTGACTAGGTGGATTTGACTTGACAAGAGTCGTCTAGAGTCTAGAGTTTACATTCGACACTCTAGCTGCTTCAGCTTGTGTAGATCTCATTAGATTGTACAGTATTCAACTGGTTCAGATTCTAGATTCTAGACTCTAGGCTTCTAGGCTCGAGCAAATTTGTCGATAGAGTGTCTATGGCCTAGGAGCCTAGTGTTTGTGATTGTTTGATTGAGTCCTCAACGAAGAAGCTAATCCAAACCTCTGGCATCCCGAAGCCCCTGCTTCAGGTTTCTGTAGCAGTGGCAGTCAGTAGCAGTTCCAGTCAGTAGCAGCAGCAGTAGCAGCTGTCTAAGAGTGTAGTGTAGCAGCAGCTGCAGTGGTGCGGGTTCAGGGGTAACCTTCGAGTCTTCGAGCGCTGAGCTTCTCAGGACAGGCGAAATCTAGGACTAGGATTCTGGTGGTTTTTCGTACATCATATGGGGTCCCACACTTTGTGTTTGTTTCTGAGTGATTTATTTCAGTGCTCCAGAGGATAATGACGTGATTGTACTGAGGTTGGCACTTCACTGCACGCAGCGGGCTGGTCGTGTAGAGTAGAGTAGAGTCCAGAGTCAAGAGTGTAGACTCAGTGTAGACATCAAAAAAATCCCCGCTCGATACATCGGATACGACGATACGAAATCATTCCAAATGCTTTGTCCCAGTAACTTGCTTGATGCAGGCCACGGCGAAGGACGCTGCGGTGGACCCACGTGTCATGAATGCGGCCAAGAAGTTCCTGGATGTGGTCCAGAACAGCGGCCATCCGCTGAAGGCGTGGGTGCAGCTACAGTTGGAGCTGATCTTGAAGGCGAACGATTGGATGGAGGCTTGGGTGGCTTTGAGATCCAGCGGGGATGAGAAAGCCACTCCGGCCAGCATCCTCGAATCAACGACGTGTTCAGCAAGGCTGACCCAGTGCTTGAAGGCAACAAAAGCGATGGACGTCTTGGTGGGCAAGGTGCTCGACTTCGAGAGCAAGATGGGCGCGGAGCAGCACGAAAAGTTTGCTGTGCTGCTCACCTTCGACTGCCGAAGCTGTGTGGAAACCTTGCTCAGTCACGAAGGGCTCATGGATGTCATGAACCTCAAGGCTGTTGGCATGCAGGAGCGCATGTCCGAGATCTGCAATCAGTTGGCCGAGGCAACCATGGGCTACGGTGGCTTTGGTGGGGGCAAGGTCAAGGAGGCCGTGTCTTGGAAAGATGGTCTGCCAGCCGAGTGCAGCCTTGACGAGTTGCTCGCAAAAGCGAAGCAAACGATCGACACCATTGAGGGTGAAGCCTTCGAAGGGCTCGGCAACTCGTTGGCCGAGGACTGGACGGATTGGGGCCAGCGATTAGACTGAGTAGGGTTTTAAGAATTCTACTCAAATAACTTGTGATGGGTTGGTTATAACGGTTATGTGGTAAGTCACCGATGAGCAGTTCCTTGTTACAGTGTCATAAGGGCATAGATCGGCGTAGACTGACGTAGGAGTGGCTGTTTGCAGACATGTTGGGCCGTAGTGCAGTTGCTGCCAAAGCTACTAGTGACTGGTAACTGGTAGGTAGGTGGGAGCTGCTGCAGTCGGGGAATGCTGGATTGTTGTTTGGTGCTGAACCGGTACCCGGTACCCGGTCCGACCCGCGGACAGAATGAAGCGATGCTTGAGCAGTCGTTTCTATTGGAAAGTTTACAGTTTACAGGAGCTCAAGCTGGCCAAGGACTTCTTGGAGCTGACCGAGCCATACTCAGCTAAGCTTCCCGACCTTCATGATGCCATCAAAGCATCGACCACGATTTGCGAGGTGTCGAAGGCTTTGCGGTGCGAAAGCCTGATGTGCTTCGCGTTGAGCTGCTCCGTGAAGAACAAGAAGATGGCTTTGATTCGGGCCCAGTTGGGAGACATCACGGGCAAACGAGTGAAAGAAAGCCTCATTGCGCCGAAGCTGTGCGAGGCTGCACGTGATTTGGTGAAGTAGCCAGATCGCTCCTACGTTTTGCCACAGTGTGCCGCTGTACCAGCTCGGATAGAGGCAACACTCTTCGGCTAGCCAGTGTGTTAGTGATGGTTAGTTAAGTTACGGTTAGTTGTGGTTGTGCTCAAACCTACACTGTTCGCAAACAGGGTGATTGTTCCTGCCAATCCTGCCCGATGCAAGAGTTAGGGTGTGCACGTGACGTGAATGAGCTTCGGTCTCCAGTTGCGCAGTTGTCGTTGTAGCAGGAGCTGCTAGCTGCTAGCTGTCAGTGTTTGCCGCCGAGTCGCTCCTGTTTGAGCTTTGGTAGACACTGTGTGCTCAGTTTTTTCCGGCTGCCTGCAGCCTTGCTTCATGCGAGGACTCGCGTTTACAGTGTGAGCAGATTGGAGTCTGGAAGGAGCATGTCATCACTTTTGGCCTTAGCGAGTGTCTCTTTGTGATCCTTCAGTTTAGATAGCTTTCAAATCCTGCGAGCCACACCAGAGTACTCGTATGCGTAGCTGAATCATGTGGCAGGCATTTTACTCCAAGACCCGGATGACAAATCCGACTCTCGTGCAGTGCTGTGCGCAAACACTTTGGGGGTGCTTCGGCTTCTGAGTAGTAAGTAGTGAGTAGTGACAAGTGACTAGTGGCGAGTCGTGAAGGTCGCATGCTTTGTGGTTCAAGCTTTCTAGGGCTATAGGGGCATGGTATTTGGTAACCAAACACGGGTGGAAGTGCATAACTTCGAGATTCGAACACAAAGCATTTCGATGTAAGCTGATCCCCTTTTTCGTCTTGTGTCGTCGCCGCGGTATCGCCCCGTTACACTCGCCGCGGTATCGCACCGTTACACTCAGGATTCAAAGGCACGCTTGAAAGCTTCACAATCTCCTTGATTCCTTGATGTTGTTCATGAAGATGACGACGACGACACTGACAATGGTGATGATGCTGATAATGATACTGATAATGATGACGATGATAATGATTCTGATGCGGCTGCCGCGGCTACGACTA